ATTTTTACTCGACACAACTGGATAGACAAGTTTGACAATTGAAATGTGTAGTATGAGATAATAAAAAAATACTCTTTTCTAGGAATTTATCAATTTTTTAATGGAACTATTCTTAAATAAACAATCAAAACGTCAAAGTCAATATTTTTTTCTTGCTTAAAAACTTGTAGAGATTTGACGTTAAAACACAACTTTTTGTAAAAACAACAACTGTATTAAATAAGATATACTAAATTAAAATCGGTTAATAAACAAAATTGTTATTGTTTCTAAATATTGTTGATAACTTTTTTATTGTTTATTAAAATTTGTGAAAATCTGCCTGAACTTGATGGTCTTGTCATGTTTGAATTGTATGCAAAAGATGACTCAGATCGGTTAAACCGTTTTGGCGAAATTTAATTTGTTTATAAGACTTTTTAAAAAATGAGCAGATAATTTGACTTAATGTATTTCAATAACCAGGGGACTATTTTCTTTGTTATTACGTATATTAATAACCTATAAAAAAAAATTTTAAAAATACATTTATGCACACAGTAAAATGTGAGTAAAATGAGTGGGGCTAGCTGAATGGAGGGCCAGCCGCGCATTTATCGCATTTTCATTGCAAAATTATTCAAAACAAATACGCTAATAATCGTATAAATAAGATAATAACTACGGGATGTACTAACCTTTTCTTAATTATGTTATTTTTTATTTATTTATTGAAAATATAATTATAGTAAACAAATATTATTTATGAACAGTATTACATTATTATTTAATTGTTCCTGTAATTTAATTAAACAATTGTTCCTAATACTCTTATTAAATTTGAACAAATCAGTTTTTTAGTAAAAAAAATATTTTTAAGAATAATATATCGTATATTTATATAATATTATATTAAATAATCTTACTTGACATAGTCCTCATATAGCAAAAGTGGATGTTGGAAAGAGAAAATGGTGGTCAAAAATGGTTTTTAGGTTAATTAGCTTAGGTAAGTTTTTTAGGTTAATTAGCTTATTTTGAACAAAAATGTTGTTAGTAACTTTTCTCTTAAATGCATCGTTTTCGAGTTATAAACAATTTAAGGTCTTAAAAGAATGCTAGCAGCTATTTTCAAGGATCGACAACTCAGGGAAAAATTAATATTTTAAAATTGGCAATCTTCAAATTACTCCTAAAACTAAATTTTATAAGATCCTGAAAATTTTTAATAATAACTTTATAGAAACCATTGTTTTTTAATTGTTAATTTCGTGTCATGCAGAGTTCTGCGACCCCTATATATACATATACGGTGTCGAAACCACATATAAGATATTTAAGAACTTGTAATTTCTTATAATATATGTATATACGATTTTTTTATTCCATTTTTTTTATACTAAAATGCTGTTTTTTTTTGGATAATTTTGAAATGAAACTACGATAAATGTTATTATTTTAATGTTGTACCCCAGTCTAAAGCAAATTCAGTCCGGTAGAACCCGAGATGTCATTTTTTCTGAGCGCTTTATCTTAAAATTGTTGGATTTTTTCAAGAAACAAAAGAGCAGCGTGCCCTTCATTCGGCGAGTCCCATTCATGTTACTCTAGTCGAAACAAAAAGTACTGTTTGTTTACAACACTTCTATTTAAACAATGTTCAAAATTTTGTTTGCTAAAGTTTTCTCATAAAAGATTGGTTAATTTCAAATTTCAGCCCCTATTGTTGTTAATTAACGTAACAGTGATTTAAAAAAGGGACCATCTGGGCCTCTTAAAGTCGTAGGACCTCCATTTTTCTAAAAGTTTCGTTTTTTAACCAAATTGCCGAACATTTTTTGCCATTTAATTTGAACTAAATTTGAACCAACTACGGAGTTATTGTAAATATTGATAAGCTTAAAAATTAAATCATTTTGTGTACATAAATACAATTTTTTTAAACTGTTTTTCCATATGTTATTTACATACGTCTTAAGAAAATAAGAAAATAGGCCCCGGACTGTTGAGGTTGAGATACATTCTGTCAAATTATCTGGACCGACCTTAGAAATTAGCTTATTTTTCACAAAATCTTATGAACAAATTAAATTTTGCAAAACTACTTAACCTATACGACCCAATTTTTGCACACAATTCAAACATGATAAGACTGTTAAGTCCAGGTACATTTCAACAAATAAAAACAAATATTATAATGTAATTAAAAAAGAAAACAGAAAAAAATAGACAAGTTTTTAAGTTATCAGCAAATGAATAACTTAGACGTTTTGATTATTTATTGAACAATAGTTCCACTAAGAAATTGATAAAACCCTAGATGAGAGTCTTTTTGTATTATCTCATACTACACATTTCAACTGTCGAACCCATATGTACAGTTAGGACGAAAATATTTCCTATTTTTTACCACCTTTATTATTTCAATTGGAGTTTTCTATAAAGACATACACAACATTCACAAAATTTTAATGTGTGTAAACTTAAATGCGATATGTTTCTTACTATTTTTAAAGAGACTATTGGTCATATCATAACTGTCGAACTGAAAACTGGCATTGATCCAGAAAGTTCTTTCAAATTTCCAGTATGACGCTGCTTCTGGTCATTATTCCCTTCTTATCCTACAGTGGTCTAATGATAGATTTCCGAATACATGGATTCTCAAAAGCGAAGCAATTGGATGGCCTCCAGTATCACCAGAGTTAAATTAGATTTTTAGAATCTCTTAAAATTGTTATTTTTAAAATACAACCCGACTATATTGATGAATTTAAACGACGAATTATATCAGCATGTTGTCCAGTAGTTTCATCTGAAGTTTTTTAAAATGTCAGAAATTTGGACATGAATTTGAAATTCGGAAAGAAACTTTACTATTTAAACAAAAATTTTTTACTTTAAGCTTTTTAAAAACGTAAAGATTTGACTTTTTTTTCTTTATTATTGCTGTACTATTCTGGAAACGATAATCAGCAAACAAATCCAAACAGAGTCCGAGTTTTGGTGGATAAAATTACCAATAGACCAATCACCTACTTTATTATTTCTCTATTACTCAATTAGAACTTCATATCCCAAAGCACCTACATCTCAGAGTGAAGATAAGGATATTGAGGAATTTCACGGTTATATTGAACAATATTAGTTTAATCAAAGTAAAGATTGAAGTCAATAAAAAATGGCAGAAAAAAAAGATATGATGATTGATAGAAAATAAGGGGAAGAAAATAACGGAAGCAAAGCAAAATTGGTTAAACGAAAAATGCTGTGATATAGAAAATCTACAAGGACTACATGACTAGTTTAGCTATAAGAAGATTAAAAAAATCACGGGAAGTTGCAGAGGCAGATATGGAAACAAACTAATTGGCTACAATGGACAAATAGCAGCAGATAATAAAACAAAATACGAACATGGAAAGAGTATATATTATATAGAAGGCCTCTTTCAATATGAAAGACTCGGTTCAACAATATCAGATGAACCAGACAGGTCGGGCCGATGATAATAAATAAAAAGTTAATTTATGCGCTTAAAAATATTAAACATGGAAAAGCTCCTTTTTCGGATGACAAGTCCTGAGATGTCTGCTAAATATTAAAGTTGATAAACAAAGACAATATACATGTGCTTACTAAACTTTTAAATACGGTCTATGAAACATGAGAAATACCGAAATATTGGATGATCTCTACTTTCATTGTAATCCTTAAGAAAACCAACTGTAAAGTTTGGTAAGGTTATAAAATAATAATGTTATGAGCCATACATTGAAATTATTTTTAAATATTTTATACAGGCGGATTTACAAAACCGTCAGAAAATTTAACACGTTAATTTTCCCAAAAAAGACAAAATTCATGCTTACAATAGCAAATTTACTAAGATGTAAATTGGAGCTAGAAGGTCAGATAATAGAACAAGTGACGGAATTTAAATATCTAGGCATCACATTATCTTGCTACGGAAAGCTTAAAACTGAAGAGAAAGGTCAAGTGAATAGAGCAGAGCCGCAGGCTGCCTGAATGAAACAATATGGAGAAATAAAAATATCGGGAAAGATAAGAAAGGCAGAATTTACTAATAGTTATCAGACTAATAATAACATATGCGGCAGAAACAAGTCCTGACACAGGGAGGACAAACAGGATGTTAGAAAGAACAGAGATGAAAACACTTAGAAACATTGATGGTAAGACACTATGGGACAGAGCTCGAAGTACAAATGTATGACGTAGATGCAAGGTGGAGAACATCAAGAACTGGATAAGAAATAGATGAATGGAACGAATAGACGAATCACAACAAATAAAGACAACAAGTAAAGACGACAAGAGACGGTTCCCCAATAGGAAGATGATCAGTAGAAAGACCACGAAAAGGAAGGAACGACAACTTATGGAGGCACATTAAAAAACAGACAGGGTCATGTCTATCTAAAAAGAAGAAGAAGAAAAAGTATTTACAAAAAATTTAATTCTAGCATAAATTACACACAGTTCGGGTTTCGCAATGGAGTGCGAATTACATAGGCTTTATTCTGTTGAAATGTATTAACGCAATCCTATTTGGTCGCGAATAAAGACTAGAACAAAATGCGTTTGACAGAGTAAGGCATGACCAGCTCATGTAAATTGTGAAACAAAAGTATTCGGATAAAGACCAAGTAGGGAATCTATAAGACACCACTAATATATCACGGCATTTAATGCAAAAAACTAGACCAGAAACATAAAAACCAAAAACTACAGGAAACAACATATATGAAGTACCCCTCAAGTACTTATACTTCGTAGAATAGAATAGGAAAAAGAAATGTTTATAAAATAAAAAGAGAATACAATAATTACAAAAACACAAAAAACGAATTTAGATAACAACAACTAGCTGAAAAGTTAGAAAAGTAGTATTTAATAATCTGGAATTATTTCTAAAGAACATATTAAAAAAGAGGATACTTGGTCAACATTTTAATATATTTATTATTTAACTACAGATATAATAACAACAAAGACTTACTTAAAACCATTTATTAAAAAAAAATACAAAACATTTACCAAAAATATCGAATATCGTCATTTTGATTCCAAAGGTAGTACTTCTGTAAGGCTAACACCCCTCACACCAACATTTCAGGCTAGCGCTGCAATGCCCACTTACTCGTCCTTCTTCCTTGCATACTCTGCGGCAGGTTTCGTTGTCCCATACTGCACATGGGCCTCCATATCTTCCGGAAAGGCAGTCACCGAAAGCCAATTCGGTGCCGATGGTGAGGATCAATAAAATTGCGAAGATGAAGTAACCTTTCATTTTGTAAATCTTCTTTGTAGATCGGTAGTCTACTGTTTGCTTGTAGTTCTGGGTTGTTTGTGTCGATGGACAGTAAAACAGGGAGTTTATATACTAATTTCGAAGTATTTGTTGACCAGCTGGGAATTTTATTGGTTTTACCACTAAGAAGAATATATTTGTTTTGGTATTGTTTACGCGAAATACAAGAAGTGGTTTTTCCGTGTTATTGTAGTTAATGTTAATACTTTGCGAATTTCTGAATTATATATTTCATTGAATTATTGTTTAATTGTTGGAATAGCAAGGCTGTGGTAATACAGAATGTCTCATTGTGAAAAATTTTTGCAGAAAAAATATTTCTGAAAGTAAAGTATAATATATTAAACTAGGTAATAATATTTTTAACGTTCGAATATACCTGCTAAGTAACCAAAATATGATAATCAGATCTATTCTGTAACTTTTGACAAATCGAATAGAAATCACCAAGTCGAATCGTAATTACTCGAAATCGAAATGTTGGATATCTATCGCGTCGTTTTTGTGTTTGGATTGGCATTCTGTAACTCACATCGTAATCGGTGTAAATCGAAAACGTCAACTTCTACTTGACGCGCTCAGAAGTTGGTGGCAACCCCGCATTGAAACGCGAAAGAAGTGTTCTGTGACGCTAAATTACTGGAAAGGCTAGTGCTCGCGAAACATTCATCAAAAAAGAAGATTATATTTCACGTCAAGTAGTTTTGACATGTTTTGGTTAAGTTTGAAAAGTTCGTTAAAAGAATACAAAATGGCAAGCGGGAAAGCAAAGAAAAAGACATTTGCTGAGCAGCTAAATTATTTAGTAAACTGTATCTAAATAAATAACATCACAGACTAAAAAATGAAGTAGGTTCAAAAATTAATCAACCGCTAATTTAGATCAAAAAGTCAACAAATAAATGTCAAAACAACCAATGCGCAAGCGTCAAGACCAATTTCGATGTCGAAATTTGATCTCGACAGAGCTTGTCTAGTCGAAATCAATTTCTACACAACATTCCGATAGTAGAGGTCGAGATGAGTTACAGAATACCGATTCCTACAAATTTCGATCCGACTTGCTGACCTCTACTCGATTTGACTCATTTCTATTCGATTTGTAGTTACAGAATAGGGCTGATTGTACAATAAATTTTTGCCAATTATATGGTTTGACTAAAAATTGGAATTTGTCTAAGCATTGATAATAAGTTTTTTTACTATTTTTGTATTTTTGGAAAAAATTAATAAAAAGGTTACTAAGACGCCACATAATATTATATAAACAGTTGTGGATACTTGTTAGGATATTAAGTGACGTAATATAGTTTAGTGCATATCTGTTGAATGTAACAAGTTTATTCCATACAAAAAAATCTTATATCAGTTTTATCACTGTATTACTATTAATCTCTTTTCTGTGCACTACAGTGCTGATATTTACATTAGCAGAATGCTGTATAGGTACTTAAGTACTTATCAGATGGAAACAATCATAGAAGAACTAACTCATTTGAAGATTTAGAGGTTGCAATGAAAACGACGAAGAATACTACTCCTGGCTATGATTTTATTACTTAAGAATTAATTTATAATTTAATTTAATTTAATTTTATTTTGTAATTACTTAAAGTTTTCAATGGTTGGTGGGTAGGGAAGCAATATATAGATCATTTTAAAAAATATGTCATACAACCAATATTAAAATCTAATAAAGACAAAAATTTAACAACGTAGTATCTTCCAATTTCTTTAATACCGTGTATAAGTAAAATCTTCGCAAGATTAATTAAAGCTAGACTAGAATCATTTTTAGAATCAAATTGTATTTTACCTAAAATGCAGTATGCAGTATGAATTTCGCAGAGGCCTTGGATCATTAGGTGTAGTAACGAAGTTAGTTACAGAAATACAAATTGCATGGTCTAAAAATGAATACCTAGTTTGTTTATTTCTTGATATAAAAGGAGCCTTTGATACAGTACATCTTATCATACTTAAATATAAAGTGTGTTCACTTTGTCTCAATAATAAAATCTGTAATAATATATTAAATCTATATTATAATAGGACAGTATGGATAAAAGATCATAGAAATATTTTACATGCACCAAGAGTTGTAAATCAAGGTTTGCCACAGGGTTCATTATTTAACTTATATTCTGCTATCATAGTATTCACAGTTTGTTTTAAGAAAACATTAAATTCCACAAGGAAACTAAATTCCTGTAGTTGGCTGTATACCATGTATCAATTTTTTTTTATTTAAAACATTTTCTTTATAAAAAGTATATTAATATACTACTTTTCTAATTTTTCAGCCAATTGTTGTTATCTTAATTCCTTTTTGTGTTTTTGTAATTATTTTATTCCCTTTTTTATTTTACAAATATTCCTTTGTTCTATTCTATTCTACGAAGTATAAGTGGATAAAAGTACATGATAAGAACTTTATCTTATTTGTATTGTTTCCTGTAGTTTTTTGATTTTCATATTTCTAGTCTAGTTTTTGCATTATACGTAATGATATATCTTAGTGTGGTCTTGTAGATTCCATACTTGGTCTTTATCCGAATGCTTTCCTTTTTGCTATATCGTCTCGTTTTCCATACTCAGTACACTTGAAGTTAACATCTTCGCATTTTGTTGGCGAGATTTGATGTTCTCCGATTGTGTGTTATCGATTTTTATGTGCACTGCGTGATTACAATATACAATTTATAAGTTTTCTCTTATGCTTATATCTCGTTTGTCCATTTGCTTTTGTTTCAAAATCGTCATGAGCTGGTCAAGCCTAGAGGCGGATTCAAACGAGTCGTGTACTTGGCAAGTACACAATTATTTGCCTACTTTGCAAGTATACTATACACAACGTGTACAATTCACAAGTACGCGAGCGTGAACAGACATGACAAGTATACGCAAGTCAACGCAAGTATTCTCAAAAACCTTGACAACTGAATCAGTGGTATGACAGACAATATGTATAAAGGTTGTACATACGTTGTAGTACGGAAAATTTTGTTATGGATTCCGCAGCTTTTGTTGTGATGAGCACTGCTTATTTAGTTATATTGAAAAAAAGAGAGAAGAAGGTGGGAGATGGTATCTTTAAATAAAAGTCAAAACAGGTCAGTACCTTTATTTAAAACTAACTAAAACACCATGGTAGCTACAGAAACTGAAAAAAATATATAAATCTTTTTTGTAGATACATCGCCACTCATCGATCGCAACATATGAATATATGGTTAGCAACCCGAATTGTGTGTAATTTATGCTAAAATCAAAAATTTTTTGTAAATATGGTTGTGTATAATTTTCAAAAATAATTTTAATATATGACTCATTAAACTTATTATTTTATAACCTTACCATTCTTTATAGCTGTTTATCCTAAGGATTGCAATAAAAGTAGACGTCAAAAAAAATTCCGGTATCTCTTCTGTTTTATAGACCGTATTAAAAAGTTTAGTAAGCACATGTATATTGATTTTGTTTTACAACTATAATATTTCAAAAAAATCTCTGGACTGGTCGTCCGGACCAGGAGTCATTCTGTTTTTCTTATTTTTGAGCGCATATATTACCTTTTCATTTATTATTATTGGTCCGATCTTTGGTTCATCTCATATTGTTGGACCGAATCTTTTATATTAAAAGTAGCTTTTTTAATTTCTTGCTGCTATTTGTCCACTGCGGTCAATTAGTTTATTTCCGTATGTGCATCTGCAAAACATTAAATGTTTACAATATTTAGATGAAATCTGTATATACTCTACCCAAAAAACCTTAGACGGCTGTCTACGCTCATTGAAACATATAGTTAAAATTATTATAAAATGGACAAATGAAAATAATATGACAATGTCCACGGAAAAATTCAATATTATGTTTTTCACAATTCATAGGGTTCGCGCACCGGGGATCATAGCTCCGAGTGGGCATACTATACCAGTGGTGTCAGTATAGGAATCTAAAGATTATGTTAAATAATAATCTTCTAGACTAAACATATTCAACTCATTAAGGGTAAGTTTGAAAAAAGAATAAATATAATATGGTGTATTATTATAAATTGGTGTCATATCACGATATCAATATATCGCTCCGGATAAGAATGCTTCGATGTTATATTTTCTCTACCCTTTTGTATGGAGTTGAAGCTTGGACACTTAAAAAATCCAACATTAAAAACCTAGAAGCATTCGAAATGTTGTGTTACCGACGTATTTTGAAAATATCATGGATGGATCGCAAAACAAACGAACAAGTTCTCGAACAACTAGGAAAACAATGCGAAGTTTTGAATTCCATAAAAATCAGAAAACTGGAATACTTGGGGCACATAGTGAGAGGTGAAAAGTACGAACTACTAAGAAATATAATGCAGGGTAAAATCAAAGGTAGAAGAAGCGTAACAAGACGTAAAATCTCGTGGCTACGCAATCTCCGTGAATGGTTTGGATGCAGTTCAATTGAACTGTTCAGGCGAGTAACCAATAAAATTATAATTGCCAGAATGATTTCCAATCTCCGATAGGAGTGGAACTTAAGAAGAAGGTGTATTATTAATAAAAAATGAGGTGCTGACTCCAAAAACGCTTTATTGCTTTACATTAATGCCTGTATTCGGTCAGTAATGGATTACAGTTGTTGGATAAATGGATCAGCAAGCAATACGAATTTAAAAATATGATTGCCCACAATACAGATGCTTAAGAATATGTTTATCTTAAGCATCTGTAATGTATCTAACATCTGGTATCAACTCCAACAAACGTTATGCTAGCAGAGCGAAATAAAATTCCATTAGAATTATATAGACAACTATTAACACAAAAATACTGTATAAAAATGATAAAAACTGAGTCAGTCCTTTTAACAAATATGGCATTATTAAACATTGAAATCTTAACCAATGAATATTGGAAAATAAAAAATTCAGCCCCACTTGTATTTATTGAAACCAGGCATTATACAGAATTACACAAAAATAAATTACTACCAGTTTATAAATTTCCGTAAAAAAATTTAATAAAGTAACCAAGAATCATAGTTCCTAAATATACAGAATCAAATCAATTAAACAATATTTTAGTAAAATCTATACTGAACGACTTTGTGGATTACACAGTAATTTACACAGGCCGTTCTAAAGATCAAACAGCATTAGTACATTTGCTAGGTGTGTGCAAAATACCCACCAAT